GGTTTAGGGTTTAGGGTTTAGGGTTTGGGGTTTAGGGTTTAGGGTTTAGGGCTTAGGGCTTAGGGTTTAGGGTTTAGGGTTTAGGGCTTAGGGTTTAGGGTTTAGGCTTTAGGGTTTACGGTTTAGGGTTTAGGGTTTAGGGCTTAGGGCTTAGGGCTTAGTGCTTAGGGTTTAGAGTTTAGGGCTTAGGGTTTAGGGTTTAGGGTTTAGGGCTTAGGGCTTAGGGCTTAGCGCTTAGGGTTTAGAGTTTAGGGCTTAGGGTTCAGGTGTTTGCGATTTCTCTCACAGGTTTACATTTAGGGGTTCTCATCTCTAACTACCCCAAAGCCAAGAAACCCTAAAACACTCCAAACCTAGAATTCCGCCCCAAACCCTGAACCCTAAACCCTAAACCCCAAACCCTAGACCCTAAACCCTAAACCCTAAACCTTAAACCCTAAAGCCTAAACCCTAATGTACCCTTCAACTTCGGGGGGCATTCCTATCACCCTTACGGAGGCGGCGCAAGCAGGACTTAACGAAAGGCATGAACCCTAAAGCCTGCACACGAAGCCCTGCACGCTGAACCTTTGAGGGTTTAGGGTTTAGGGTTTAGGGTTTCAGGGTTTCAGGGTAGGGTGCAGGGTGTAATTAGGTTTTGGAGTTGAGTCTGCGAAAACGCTGCAATTGCAGCGAGGTGCCGCCTGTAGCTAGCGCCCGGCCCGAAGACAGTCAGGCTGACAAACTCGCTTGATGGCTCAGACTTCATCCCTAAACCCCCAGCCCTGAGCCCTGATCCCACAAAGGCAGGGCAGGCGTCAGGAGTTTTCGGTTTGCTCTGGCTTTGGGGTAAGGGTCCGCCCCACTCCAGCAACCCCAAACCCGAAAACCTAAACCCTAAACCCTAAACCCTAAACCCTAAACCCTAAACCCTAAACCCTAAACCCTAAACCCTAAACCCTAAACCCTAAACCCTAAACCCTAAACCCAAGACACAGCCCAAGGAACTCTTATCGAAGACTCATTTGAGCCCTAGTTTGGATAGGAACCCATAGCAGAAGTCACACCTGAAACCTCGAACCCCGAAGCCTCAACCCTAGTTAGGGTAGAGCCATAACTCCAAGGCCTTGAAATTCCTGAGCCTTCCTGAGGGAATATAGTTGGAACAGTCCTGAAATCATATTGGGTGGGGGCCCTTTCTGTTCTAAGGATGAATGCGACCCCAAACCCTAAACTCTCAATCTGTTCTAGGGAAGAATACAACCCTAAACCCTCAACCCGAAACCTCAGATCCCAAGTTTTCTGAGTTCGGGCTATTGGAGTCTCTTGGGGGACCACTCGGGTTTAAGGTGCCCTAAACCCTAAACTCTAAACCCTAAACCCTAAACCCTGGAGGGATGCGGTGCCGAGGTGCAGATGATTTCTGCGGATGGCGAGGTTGGCGCAACCCCGCGGCCAAAACCCTACTTGGAGGTTCATGGTACTTAAGAGCCCAACTAGGGGTTTAGGGTTTAGGGTTTAGGGTTACTGCATGTCTAACCCAATGAAAACCATATTGGGGCACCTAAAGGGCGTATAAGTGGCTTATAAGTACAGATATACTTGGGTCATAAGGACCCTGAACCTGAAGGTGCTCTACCTTGCACCGTTAAGGCGGTACTCTTGAATTTTGGGGGCCCTTTGTAAAGATCCCCATATGGCAGCATAAGGAACCCTAAACCCTAAACCCTAAACCCTAAACCCTAAACCCTAAACCCTAAACCCTAACCCTAAACCCTAAACCCTAAACCCTAAACCCTAAACCCAACACCCTAAACCCTAAACCCTAAACCCTGAACCCTGAACCCTGAACCCTAAACCCTGATCCTCAAGCCCTGGGGTGCATACTGCTTCTAGAAGCCTTGTGTAAGGTACCTTGCCTGGGCAAGCTAGTCCAGCCCTCCTAAACCCTAAGCCGCCCAAGCCCTAAAACCCTGTTAGGGTTTAGGGTTTAGGGTTTAGGGTTTAGGGTTTAGGGTTTAGGGTTTAGGGTTTAGGGTTTAGGGCTTAGGTAGGCCCTTGGGACATTGCCTATCTTCCCTTATTGGATTTCGGAGGATCATACTCAGGAATATTATTTCAGAGGGTTTCAAGAGCCATCCTAGAACAAAAGCTCCGATCCTAAAATCCTGCAGCCGCGCACCTTGAAACCCTGGGCGCTAGATTCGAAGCCCTAAGCCCTAAATCCTCAACCCTCAACCCTCAACCCTCAACCCTCAACCCTCAACCCTCAACCCTCAACCCTCAACCCTCAACCCTCAACCCTCAACCCTCAACCCCAAACCCTGAACCCTAAACCCCCTACACCCCTTCGCCCTGCGACGCTGTCGCCCCGGAGGGCTGCGACGAGAACGCCAGTTTGTCGCTTCAGAGGTGGCGACCCATTGTGCTGTTCCAGCTCAGGGTCTGGGGTTGAGGGTTGAGGGTTTCGGGTGTAGGGTTTAGGGTTTCGGGTTTAGGGTGGTTTCGGGTTTAGGGTGTAGCGTGTAGGGTGAGGGTTAATAAAGGTTTCGGGGTTCAGGGCTCGGAGTTTTGGGGTTTAGAGTTTAGGGTTTAAGGTGTGGGGTTTTGGGGGATTTGGGTTTCCGGGCTTGGGGTTTTGGGTGGTTTGGGGTTTAGGAGTTTCGGGTTTTGGAGCTTAGGTTGGAGGGTTGGGGGGGTTTATATAGGTTCCAAAGTCCCGTGCCCTATCCTAGCAACCCTGAACCATAGGACCCTAAACTTAGGGTTTAGGGTTTTGAGTTTAGGGGAACTCTCTAGACCCTGCACACCCCTATGGACCGTAATCCCCAAACTCTCCTGCTCCCCCAGTTCCGCCACCAGGGTCTCGAAACATACCACACCTTCCGAGCTCTCAGACCCATACTTTCGGTTTAGTGTGTTTTCTTTCCTTTTTGCGGGCTTGGGGTTTCGCGTGTATGAACCTCCCAAAACTCCAAGAGCCCGAAGCATGCAGTGGAAACACTTGAAAACAAAAAGCAGCTCAATCAAAAAAGCGAGCAATGCTGACCCCCCCCCCCTCCAAACCACCCCAAATCCTAAACCCCGAGCCCCTTTCAGCTGCAGTGTTCTCCGGAGACCCAGAACGCCAACACCCTGAACACTCAGCCCTAAGCCCTAAGCCCTGCTGCCGAAAACCCCCAAGAGAAGGTTGGAACCATGGGCCCTTAGGATGGTCCCGTAGCCCGTAGCATTGTTTATAGGGATGCGAAGTATTGGCCCGTATCATTATCTACATAACAATGGGCCCAACTTAGGGGCCCATACTTGGAACCCTAGACCCGAAGGCCCCTTAGGGCCTTAGGATCTAGGAATGCAGGGTGTAGAGCTTAGACTTCAGGGTTTAGGGGGTTGCCCGAACCTGAAACCCGAAACCCGAAACCCGAAACCCGAAACCCTAAGCCCTAAACCCTAAGCCCTAAACCCTAAACCCTAAACCCGAAACCCTAAACCCTAAACCCTAAACCCTAGGGTTCTAAACCCTAAACCCTCAACCTTGAACCCGGGAAGCGCTCGCCGCCGCCTGTCTTCCCAATTGATAGAAGCTTGTAGGGGAGGCTTTGGGGGCTTGTCGGGTATAGGCATAGGGTTTAGGGTTTAGGGTTTAGGGTTCAGGGTTCAGGGTTATAGAGTTCAGGGGCCCTGCAGTTCAGGATTTTCGGTTGCGGGCTTATGGTTGAGTGATGTGGGAGGCACGTCCGTCTAGTCCCGTGTGTGTGGGCTTACAGCCTTGAGCTCTAAACCACAAAATCCTAAACCTCTGCCGCTCCCCATCCACGCCCCTCCCCAAACCCTAACCCTAAACCCTAAACCCTAAACCCTAAACCCTAAACCCCAAACCCTAAACCCTAAACCCTAAACCCTGAACCCTGAACCCTAAACCTTATTAAGTGGTGGGCAGGGCTTGGGGGCTGGCTTTAAAACTTTGCGCGCATGGACCGCGAAGCGGTTGCTGCGGATGCTCCAGCGGCACCTTTGCTTGAGATGGAGCGGTGGGTTTAAGGTTTAGTGTTTAGGGTTTGGGGTTTAGAGTTCAGGGTTTAGGGTTTTGGGTTTTGGATGATGATGTCCGTTGGGTTGGTTGGTAGGTTCCAGATAAGGTCAGGACTATGCACGGGGGACAGTCCTGAGGATATTGGTTTTCATATATCACAGATACCAGACGCAATAGAATGAAAGGGCGGCTTGGGCAAGCATAACAAATACGGGAGCACAGAAATAGAACAGTTGTTGGGGGCGGGATTGAAAATCACAGTGTTCTGACAACCGGAACATGTGTTTTTAAGAAATACAAACATTAAAATACAATGTTTTTGGAGTGTGTACATGTGTGGTGTGGGCAGTTTGGGATGGAAACAATGTTATTTTACATGGGCAGCTACATAGTGTTTAAAACTATGTCAGTTTAAAAACATTAAGTTTTCACATTCGGAGAAGGTGTTTTACAGTTGTGTGGACATGCATTCATATATGCCATGGTCTGTAGCATGCATGTAAACCAGCTGTTGCGACAATGCGAATGCTTGTTTTCGACTGTGAGTGTAGTTCATGTCACGACAAGGCACGGTCATGTTTACTGCTTGCTCGGTGTGTCTGCATGTTTGTTTTGTGGAAGCCGCAGCCAATTTGTCAATGATGTAGTGTCTTGATCCGATTCGATATGAGTTTCAGATGGCATGCAGAGCATATTTTTGTAGTCATGATGATTGTATGTTGCTGTTAAACTGTGCAATCACAAAGAATGCACAAATGTCAACACACACGCTACCTATGTATTGGGGTTTCAGGTCACAGCACATGCGGGGCCATGGAGCTGTGCACCGCGCAAGTTTCGCGGCGACTTGCTTTTTTTGCAACTTCGAGTGGAGTGGACCTGACATGTGGCCGAGTGTATCCCCGCGGCAGCTTGATAAACATTCTCGTTGATATCCTGTGCACAACCAGAGGATACGAGAAGCGCAAGGCGTGTGCTGTTGTCAGAGATGCAGTATCACGTGCAGCTGCTTGGTTGCAATTAAACATGCGGTTCGACTGTGTATCAATCTTGAGTCAAACAGAAGCTGCTTGTTCTGGTAATTTTGACACGCATGCTGATCTATGCTGATCGTATTATGCAAATATGGCTTGCTATATCATCACATGGATGCGCTATTCGTCATGAGCTCACGTCTGCATGATTATATTCTGCATTGCTTCATCCATACATACAGTGCATGTGCATAGGACATGCTGCATGCGGGCTATAGTGCATATGCATAGGACATGCTGCGTGCTGGCTATAGTGTATATGCATAGGACACGTTGCATATTGCATACGGGCATGGTGCATGTGATGAGTTCGTGAGCATCAATATTTAAAGCTAGCCAGGTATCTGCATCGATTGCCAGATCTGGAAGCGGTTGTTCTCTGGACACGTTTATCATGCATGCCGACGCGCAGTCAGTGATGTCAACACTTGGACTACCCTTCATATCGACGTGCATACATGGAGTGAACACACCCTGTGCAATAGAAGTCGATGACGCTGGAGAGGGAGCTCTTGTTCAACATCAATCTAGCGTCGCTATAGATGTGGATTCGGATGCTTCGGATGGTGGTGGTGGTGATACTACATGCCACAGTCAGAGTCAGAGTCATAGTGTCGTGGCTCGGCAGCCGCTCTCGCCTTTGGACACGAACGCACTGCGTGAGCGTGCGCCTGGAAGCAGCATGCTAAGCAGTTCGACCTTGCGTATCGGTGGTCTTGTCAGAGGTGTTTCTTCAGCTTCGCTTGGTGGCTCGTCTCTTGGATCTTCGTGCGGAGGCAGACATGGTGATGGCATTGATGATGATAGCGACTCAATGCGAGTGCTGATCAGCAGAGATGACATAGAGAACCTTGGATTTTCGCAGACCAAACGCTGGAACGTGGCGAACCTTCAATGCTTATCGCAGTCGGATTACGCACGTATGCCGTCAGGAATGAGTAGCATGGTTGCTTCGAAAGCCTCCCGGGCACTTGACCTTCAAGTCGAGAAGACTAAGGCTGCTCAACGTCAAATCAAGGTGCTGAAACGTACAAATCAGGCCCAAGCCAAGACGCTCATCAAAAAACAACGAAGGATTGATGAACTGGTCCATAATTCTTCGTCTCTGGAAATCACCACAGTTGGGAAGACTGGGAAACGCTTTTCCGTGCAAGGATGCGTTGCCACGGGCATCAGACGCAACCTATCAAACATTGCTTCTTCGGATTTCGGTGTAACAGTGCTGCAGTCCATATCACATCAACGAGTATGCCGCTCAGAGATCAGGACAGGAGCTGCTGTTGTTGCTCGTATGCACGCACAATGTGCCTTAGCAGTTGAGTCAATGTATGGATTGGGCGAAGATGAGTGGGGGTTGGTCACGGTTTCATTCCGATGCGACGCAACTAATTCGAGCATTTGGCGTCGAGAGAAGCTCCATGTGCTCGATGTTGATCTTGGCTACATCAACAACAAGGCAGCAATCAAAGAGTTCAATGCTGACAAAGCATTTGGTTGCCACAGATGTCTGTTGCAGCCTTATTTGTTTACTTTGTGTTTGACTGGAGCGTGGTTTGTCACAGTTGTTCCCTTTGCTAACCACAAGCGGACAACATTTGCTTTGTAGATGACAAGGTCAGATACTCAAGTCGTGGCCGGCAAAGACGCCGAAGCATGCAACGGCTTGGTGCTGAAGCAACTTCGTGCTGTTGGAGCTCCAGTTTGGGATGACGTCATCACTGATATGCATTCCGAGTGCCTCGACAAAGCAAACCGCCGACGTACAATTAGTGCATCAGTATCAATCAGTATCTCAGTATAGTCAGAATGGGTCACGCAAATGCAGGTGGACAACGCCACTGTGTTCTATAGTTGCTTACATGATTTACATGATTTACATGATTCCATGATTTCATGATGATTACAGGATTACATCGACAGTCGAGCATTGCAACATGTAGTGTTTCATGTTGGCTAAAACCTGATATAAGCTGATATAGATTTAGCCATGTGCTTTGTAAGTGTTGTCGTGGCGGTCGGTGTCGGTGTTGCTGACAATGAACAATAATTGCGATTCATCCGCAGGCATCCTACGTTCCGTCCGAACGACGTGTTTCTCTACTTCGACGTGACAGACAAAGGCCCAGATCAGAACTGTCGCAAACGCCTCACGAGCGAGAGGATTTCTGCATCCGGATGCGACAACATTATATACATGCCTGGAGCATGTTTCTTACACATGTTCAATGCGTGTGTCAAGGACGGTCTTGGGCTTGTGGACGAGCTTTTGCGATCGCTTTTCTCGAAAGAAACTCTGTGCGGTTTCTCTAAATATTTTGCATCGATTGGAAAAGTCGTCAACGTATGGAGAGAGAAAGCGTCTGAAGTTATGGCTGCTTGGGATCGTTTACACGAGGACTGCGACGCCGACACACAGAAGTTGGGGCGAAGATACCCACTAGCAATCGTGGGTGGTAGGTGGGGCTCAGTGGAAGCCGCCGAAGACTTTTTGCTGCTCAGAGGTCGATCAAGTGTGGTATCGGTGTTGCTCGAAGTTCTGTCGAAGCACATGAAGTCGCGTGATGCCGACGACGACCAACCAAAAGACGGTCATACATACTTGGAATGTCAGTAGGTTGTTTGATTTTATGCTGTGGCTGTATGCGCAACCACCGAACCGTAATATGGGCAGAGTAGCATCGTAACATGTCAACGGGTCATGTAGCACGCAACTGCCGCAAAAGGCGACGACTATGATGGGGTTATCGACGTCGAGTCGGCCGATGACGCCAGAGGATATAGAATCAAATTGTCCAAATGGTTCCAGGGAACATTCGATGCCATACAGCATCCATTATTTTGGTACATGCTCTATATCTGCAGGTGCATGAGAGGACCTTTGCGACACTTTTTTTGTTTCGTCCAGGAGCAAGCAAAAAACGCCAACATTGGACAAGTTGTTCTGAAACTGGTGACGTTCAAACTGGATGAACTTCAGAACGAGTATCGCAATTTGCTTAACCGCATCAATGAGATCGTGCGACGGGCGGCCGAGCTGTCTGGATGTGACAGGCTCTTCAAAGACGATCCCGCATCCATGACATCACTTGCATTGATAGCACGCAAGGTCTGCTATCAACAGTGGGCAGCATTCCAGCGCCGGATATACATTCCAATGCAGCAGCATCATGGCTCATTCTAGTGGGTTCATTTGTTTTACACGCGAGCACTGCGAGCATCACACACGTAGCTCTGTCGATGCTGTGTTCCAGTGTGGGGCCCATGTTATGCTGTGTGAGCAGATGGACTGGTTGTTGCCGGTTGCCGAGGTATCCCTACAAGCTCCTGTGGCTGCTGAAAGAGAAGCCGCTCAGTCACTGCGTACATCGACAAGGATTCGACTCCATTCAAACTATGTTTCACGTTCACGTGTTGTGTGTTGTGGCATTGTGACATGAAGTAGGTGTGATCTGTGGTGATGGTGATCTCAATACACTAGACTAGACTTAGACTGTCAGATTGTGTTGATAGTTGATTGTCATATCTGGTACATTGACAGCTTGTGTAGATTCGAGTAGTGTGTCGTGAGTCACGTGCAGACGTGCTACAGATAACAAATACATTGATATCGAGCTGCGTGCATGCTGTCACTGTCATCGTAGTCATGGTACGATGTTTGCATTCATGACTTATTCCTTTACTCTTTTCCTTTGCAAACATATTGTATGTGTGCCTTTGTGTGTTGCTTGCCAGGAGTTGCGTCTGACATTCTGGCGTCACAGAACCTGGACCACGCAACTCAACGTGTCCGCAAACTCTGCGCTCGAGAGCTTCAGCACATGGCGCAAACGGGTATGTTCATGCGAAGCGGCACGAGCGACGCCAGCAAGCATGGGTCAATACTTTGGACGATAGTGCAAATGATGGCCAGATTGTACTACGCCGAAACACAATCGATTGAAGGCTTGAATTCAATAGTCAAGCTTCTTGGACGTCGCTGCCCCAACATTTCATTGGAACTTCTATCTAGCAGGCTGACTATCAAGCGCATGATCGGACAGGCTGACGGGGTTACGGGGTGTCGGAAGTCTTGGGCAGTGATCAAGAACTTGGCGGAATCAGCGGTGGTGGATTTGGCGGAACATTCTACATCATCGTTAGCAATTCTTGCGAACGAAGCACGCTGGGCGAACGCAAAATCAGAGACCTTTGCATTGACGACCACTCTCACGCGTCAGGCTGCATTGTGTGACACTGCACCGAATGCATCGTCGTCCTCAATGTCACAATCATCACAGGCGCATGCGTCTGCGTGCATTGCGCATGCTCCAGATTCGGACCGTGCTGCGAGCACATCGCTCAGCCAGGTTATTGAGTCAGGACTTTTGCCAACTTCAGTTTCCTCAAAGGCACTTGCATGGGCGAAATCATACAACCTTGGATGGAAGTGGACGACAGGAGGCGGCAAGAAGGCCAATGCAAAGAAAGTGATACAAGCACACGGTTTGAATGGATTCGGCCTGCTCATCATAAAGACAACAGATCTGCAAGACATGGCGTTCTATGTTGTTGTGGACAGGTTTGCACACAGCGTAGTTTTTTCTAGACTGCAAGTTGTTCGAAGGCGTTGCGCGGCGAACACTGAGCCTGTAGATTGTGTATGCTGGGTGCACGACGGTTCCAAATTTGCAGATTCGGTAGAATCAACGTTGTTGTTTCTCAAATACTATGACGTTTGCTCCAAGGGACATGTGGTGGATGTACAAGCATGCTTTCTGGAGCACGATCTATTTGAGCAGCTATTTGTTGAGCCAGGCTACATTCCGATATCCGAAGTTATGGAGCATGCGTCGAAGTTATTCAGCATGGATAAGAAAACCATGAAAGGAGTGAACGTCAAGATAAAGAAGACAAAGGCATCATGCGCTGCCCAAGCAGGTGCAGATGACAACGACAGAGGTTCAGGAGTGTTGGCACCGCCAGCCGCAGACACGCAGGACGTAGCTGAGTCAGCTGAGCCTGAGGACAACACATTCATGGATGGAGATCTTCTAGATACATCAGGCTCAGATGACAACGCTGAGGCTGGGGTTGATGACAACGATGACCTCGACAGTTCCGACATGACGGTGAAGGAGCTTCAACGTTCGATACATGCTTTGTCGACGTCTGGATCGTCAGGTATCCCTTCTGCTAAGGAAGTTTCGCACACAGCGGATGCCATTGCTGGCGGAGGTGTTGTGCCTCCCAACGCGGAACTGCAGCAGGAAGCTTTGCTGTTGTTGGTCCGACAACGTCAGGAGTCGAAACGCAACAGAGAAATCAATGCCAGCAATGCAGCAAGTAGGCTTGAAGGTGTGGGTGACTCTGATCTCATGAGAATGTCTTTGGATATCTCAGATGACGAGGATGCAGACGATCAAATCGACATATCGGATGCATTCGACGTCTGGGCTTCAAACTGCTGCAAAACACTTCGATCGTTACAAGATGTGAAGAATGCACAAGCCGCACATGCGCTGGGAGATCATAGATCAATTTCGCTTGTTCTCGCACATGCCCACAGAGTCGACGGTTGCTCATGTGTTCGCTGCAAGAGTTCTAACCCAGTCGATGCACCCGATCTTTTATGGATAACATGGTTGAACAACTCAGCAGCTCATGGGCTGCTGGGGCGCAAAGCACGCGAGGTGAAACTGGACATGGAGAACAAGGTACTGTTTTCAACTTCAGGCTCTGCGTTCATGGGGCTCCCTGAGCTTCAATGTGACGATTCACACGTCGACGTACTCATACCATATGTAGGTGCAGCAATGCGTAAGATCAAAAAAACCTGCAGGGACAGGGACCAAGTGCCGGAATCATTCATGCAGTTCAAGAGTTTTTGCGAGATTATGCTGGACCGGCTGCATTACAACTTGGGTGACACTGTCGGTATCGACGACAGCGAGGCGGCGAGTCTGTCAGAACCTTTTCTGTGTGAGGGAACAAATGGTGGATTTTTTGTCATAGTCATGATCAACATAAGACCACATATACTACTGCTGCTGCTGTTGCACCATTACCTACTACTACTTCTTCTACTTCTACGCGTGCTCCTCCTACTACTCTACTACTACTTACTTTTTTGTTTGGCTTCTTCTACGACTACTACTACTACTACTACTACTACTACTACTACTACTACTACTACTACTACTACTACTACTACTACTACTACTACTACTACTACTACTACTACTACTACTGCTACCACTATTTTAGTATTATACTACTGGTACTGCTACTCTGACTCTGTGACTGTTACTGTTGCTGTTACTACTATTGTGCCATGCTGCTTTCTGCTACTACTGTTATATCACTATCACGATCACGCTGACACTAACTGTCACTCGCTGTTGTTGTGTGAGAGTGAGTACGTGTGGCAGGTGCTCGTCCGACAATGCGCAGGATGCAAGAGAAAGTCTGGGACAGTGTTGCAATGTCCGGTTTGTGGCATGCATTGGCATGATGACTGTGCGCGCTCTCTGGCAGTCCTGCAGTTGTCAGAACAATGGCATTCAGAGTTACCTGTGTTGGCTGATGCTGCACATTGCAGAATGGGTTTGAAAGCATGTGTCCCGAGCCCGCGGACTGGTGCTGCCTGGTGGTCTGCTTTGGTTGGGCGTGCGTCACAGGCCTCGTCAGGCGTCGGTTCAACGGCTCACACGGATGCGTGTATTGTGCGGCATTTGGAATTTAGACTTATACTTTTAACGAAACCTCATAGTAGTATGTTTGCGTCAGTGTAGAGAGTAGCTGTAGTAGCGGCTGTAGCCTGTCGCTGTGTTGTTTTTTGAGTTTTATATGCACGGGTCAACACAAGGCCTGCAGCTGCAGCTGTTGCTTGCCAACTTTGCCGTACTATTCTGGAGTCTGCTACCTGAAACACATTGCCCTTGCAAATTGCGACTTGGACTGGGTTCGAGAACAAAATGTGAGAGCATGAACAACATGATGTATTGTCTGACCGATAGCTGTGAATATGTCACGACATGATATGAGCCTGAAGCAGCCTGAAGCCTGAATATGTGAACATGAACTGATATGCATACCCGGCACATGCCATGATTGCGTCAGTGTTCTTTCTTGAACGGTGCGAGGCATGATCGATTCGATGACTCGATGTCATATGTCATATGATGCGCTTTGATGAATTCAGTCCGGGCCTTATCCACTGCAATAAACGGTTAGCCAAGGGAGAGAGAGAGAGAGAGAGAGAGAGAGAGAGAGAGAGAGAGAGAGAGAGACAGAGAGAGAGAAAGAGAGAGAGAAAGAGAGAGAGAGAGAGAGAGAGAGAGAGAGAGAGATAGAGCAAGAGTTAAAGAGATATGCGGAGGAGATGTGCAGAGATAGGCGTATTGCAGTATTGCATAGGGTTGAGCTTTTATGGCCGGGGTAAAAAGCCGGTTTAGGGAAATGTGGGTTTAGCGGTTTAGGGTTAAGGGCCGGGGTCAGAGACGGACAGAGATACGAGAGAACGAGATAGAGAGATGTGATGTGACATAGAGAGAGTTGCTGCATTTGCTTGTTTCAATTCTTGTACCCATCAAGTCAAGTGGCGGCACATGACACACTGCAAGAATCAATTAGTCTTGCTTGATGTCAGCTAGATGTGTTCTACAGGAGTCGTAGTTCTGTTTCTGGTGATATTGTGATGATTTTCATTTAGTTGCGTGCAACAATGGCTTCGCAACCGCCGCCACCGCCACCGCCGCCGCCTCATTCGACCGACGCGTCCACTAGCAGTGGCACTGATGTGCGTACCTCGGATGCATCCGGCCTCAGCGGCAACGACGACAATTCCGACAAGCTCTTTCTTGGCAGCAAATGTGCACCACCACAGCCACCAAAGAAGAGCTCTTATGATGGCTGTGATCATGATGCTCCACAAGTAGCTTCGCACCGCCAGCATACCCCACGAGTGGTACCGCCGCCGAAAAGGCAACCCAAATGGACACCGCCGCCACCACCACTTCCGGTAAGGCCGCCGCCAGGAGCTAGCTCGCAGCCAGCGCAAGGACCATGGGCAGGCATGCCTGGAGTGCCTCTTCCACAGCCAGGCCATTTTTGTCCAACGATTCCACCCATGCTGCCGCACTCATGGATGATGAACAGCCAATGTCCAACGCAAGGACTTCTGTGGCCGTGGCCTTTTCCACCAAGTCCACCGTCGCAGCTGGGGCCGCCGCCCGGCCCGCCGCCTGGCCCGCCACCGCCTGACCCCCCGGCGATTCAGGCTTGTCGTACTCGTCGGCATCACCGCCAGTAAAGCCAACGATTGCGCCACACGTGCTCGAGGCAAAAGCAGTGTTTGATGCACAGAAAGCGGCAGCGGCAGCTGCTGAGGCTGCGGCTGCGGAGGCTGCGGCTGCAGCGGCTGAAGCACGAAGACTGAAAGAAGAAGAAGCTCAACAGATTGCAGCAGCGCAGGCTCTGGAGGCTCAGCGACAACATGAAGCTCAGGCTCAGCGACAACGTGAAGCTCAGGCGGCTCTAATCGTTCAGCGACAGCAGGAAGCGGCTTTAGCAGCTCAGCGACTGCTCGAAGCTCAGTTTCGAGAAGCTCAGAAACTGCAGGAAACTCACGCTCTAGAAGCTCAGCGGCTGCAGGAAGCTCAGGCACGATCAGCTCAACAGGAAGACGAGCGACTTCGACGAGAAGCTGAGGCGGCGAAACAAGCTATCCCAACACTGGATAGTTTCAGCCCGGCGCACAGGCGAGCAGCGGAAGCGAGGTCGCAGGGTCACAGAGCAGTACACGCACAAGGTCTTCGTGTTGCGCAGGAGTGGTTTTGGGAGGAACAAAGAAAAGAGGCCGCTGCGCGAGCTGAGCAGGAGATTGTCCAGCAAGTGATAGGGACGCCGCAGCAGCATCGCACCCCGCAGCAGTATTCGTTGACACGTCACAATATTCGACAGGAGAATGCAGTCTCCTGCATGACTCTCGGTGAACCGGCTAAGCCAGAGCCACTGTTGGAACCACCTCGATTTGCGACAGTAGACTCACCGGCCCTGGATGGGAAGAATGCCACATTGCCTGCAGCTGCATCTGATGCACCAGCAGACGCAGGGAAGGCAAGTGAAACACCTGCCGTGGCGGCAACCAAGGAAGAATCGCCAACAGAGTCAGATTCTTCGTCGTCGTCAGAGTCTGGTGCAGGTGAAGCTGCGCCTAAGCCAGAGATAATCGAAGTGGACGGTGGAGCGGCGAGTGAGTCTGCACACTCGTCAGCATCGCCTGATGATTCACAGAATGAGGACAGCTTCGGATTAGGATGCGTTTAGGTGGACAGCGTACTGTGTGCCACTAGAGTTTACATGCTGTTTATGTAGCCAGTCTGGTGTGTTTGTGCGCAGGAGATGCCAAATACGGAGACGATCACACCAAAGAAGGCGCATCGGCGGGTTGTGATGTGAAGTCAATGCTTATTCAGTCACCGCTGTGTTCACGTTACTGTTTGTGTTGCAGCAGTTTAGTTGTGAGTTTGAGTTTACACTTCATTACGTCAGGCACCCAAGGCAAAATCAAGACCAAAGGCGCCAGCAAAGCCTTCGAAGGCGAAGCCATCCCCAAAGCCGAAGCAGGCGCCGAAGCCTAAGGCACGGCCAAAGTCGACCCCATCTAGACAGACGCCGTCCACAACTGCTAAGGACCATAAGATTCTTGAGTGTGCATCATTCATCGTCACGCAAGTCTATTGCTAGTTTTTTTTTTGCAGGAGACCACACAAGGTCGGAGACGTAAGTGTCCGAGCCAGGTGCCGGTTCTGCCACGCTTATATCGCTAGATAATCTTTCAGCTTATATTGATATCTGTTCAGGATGGTGACAAAAAGGCAAGCAGCAGCAAGCCGAAGGGCAAGCACATTGAGGCACCAACAGTTAATACTGATTACATTTACTCATGACAGACATGCATGTTGGTAAGGGTGGAAGCACATCGAGTCGCCAACCGCGGGCCACCGCCCGGCAAAGCATCAACAAGGAGAATGATCAGGACGAAAAATAAGACTGTACACGTGTGACATGTGTGTGCGTTGTGTTATGTTCTGCTGTTAACTAGAGGCGAAAGAAAAATCCGAATCTAGCTCAAGCTCTAGCGAGCCCGTCGACGAGTACCTCGTAAATATGGTCAACCAGATCGACAAAGAGGCACTTAGCTTTGGCATGCTGTCACAGGTAGCCATTGGACATTTTGCTTTCACTTATATGCATGCATCAGATCCAAGAAGAGATGACAAGAAAGGAAAGGCGTCGTGAGTCGAAGGCGCTTTGCACTTGAAGGCTTTCTGTCGCTGTGTACTCATGTCGTTAACAAATTGTCAACATGTTAACAAATGACAGGTGCCATCGCGATCTGCTGCACCGAATCGCCGATGTAGAAGCAAAAGCCGTCCGAATTGCAAGAGCTACGAGACAGCAAAAATACATGTTATGTTGTTGCTGTTTAGACTAATGTCAGAATGTTGAATTAAGGCTCCGACAGTGACTGATGGTGAGCAGCAGCATCAGGGGCTGGTGGTTCATGGATATGAATGATACACAGAGTCTTGGCAGCATCGTTTATTGTTCATACAGTGGACAAACACATATTTCAAATAGACGTGTGATTGAATGATCTCTGATCTCAGGTGAGATGATAATGTTTTGGGAATTTCAGAGACCTTGCGTGACACACGTGGAAAAAGCGCTAACGACCAGCTACTGCATCGCTTGCTTGTAGTGCGGCACTGATTATGGAATGCACTGACCTACACGCTGACGTCTGAGGCTGAACCAATCTATATGCAACAGTGACTTGGCTGCACTTCAGATACACAACAGTGACTTGGCTGCACTTCAGATATACATACAGACATACGTCAGCTATATTGCTGTTTCGTTGTTTGTTGTGCATGTGAGCTACATTTCAGAGTCGTGAAACATGAGTGTTATGAAAATCTCATGAGAAATATCTGAGGTGATTCTATCTCAGGCACGCTGTGTTCGCTACGTGTGTGCTTTACATGTTGGATGATATGCATTGTACATATTGATATTATCGCAATACCACAATATAATAAACTATATATATATATATACATACAAATATGTGTTGTTAATATTGATATTGTTGAGGACTTGAGTCTTCAGTTTACCATTGTTCATACTGAGGACTGGAGTCCTTAGGGTTGGGGGGCCTGAGGACTGGAGTCCTCAGGGTTGGGGGGTCTCAGGGCTGGGGGCCTGAGGACTGGAGTTCTTAGGGTGGGTGGCTTAGGACTGGAGTCCTGAGGAGGGGGGTAGCCTGAGGACTGGAGTCTTCAGGCTGGGGTGGGGCCTGAGGACTGGAGTCCTCAGGCTTGGGGGGCCTGAGGTCTGCAGTCCTGAGGAGGGGGTGGCCTGAGGAGGGCCTGAGGACTGGAGTCCTGAGGAAGGTGTTGTCTGAGGACTGGAGTCCTCAGGCCCGGAGGGACCTGAGGACTGGAGTCCTCAGGTCGGGGGGGTCCTGAGGACTGGAGTCCTCAGGCTGGGGGGGGTCTGAGGACTGAGTTGTCAGGCTCGGATGGCCTGAGGACTGGAGTCCTCAGGCTGGGGGAGGTCTGAGGACTGGAGTCCTCAGGGTCGGATGGCCTGAGGACTGGAGTCCTCAGGCTGGGGGGGGGGGGGGGGGGGGTCTGAGGACTGGAGTCCTCAGGCTCGGATGGCCTGAGAAGTGGAGTCCTCAGGCTGGGGGGGTCTGAGGACTGGAGTCCTCAGGCTCGGATGGCCTGAGGACTGGAGTCCTCAGGCTCGGATGGCCTGAGGACTGAGTACTTGGGCTAGGGGGGCCCTGAGGACTGGAGTCCTGACAGGGGAGGGTGCTGAGGACTGGAGCCCTGAAGATGGGTCTGAGGATTGGAGTCATCAGAGTGCTGGAGTCCTCGGGGTCGAGTACTGGTATCAGGTTGGGATGAATGCTTGAGGTTTGAAAAAATAAGTATGTTATATATTCAGGTTCTTAAGGCTTTGATACATGTTTTAAATTTCATAATTTAATTATTTATATTTTTAGCAATATGACTAAAAATTATATGGGTCCGAATCATTTTGTTTTGTTTTTTTTTGTTATCTTAATGCAGCTATTTATTATAATGTTATTACTTTCAATATGATAATCTCAACATATGCATAATGTGTTCAACTAAACATGTTGCAACCATGGCAACTCATGTACTGCTTTAGATAACACATATAATCATACACATGTGAACTAAACATACTACAATTACCGCAAATCATGTAGTACTTTGTATAACACACATGACACATGTGCATAAGTTTACTTACAACCAGACGCTTGCGCAACATACACATATGCAAACATTCACATATACACATATTTACACATTACATTACATCATGTTGTGTTATATTATGCTCTGTTATACTGGGTTAACGTTACACTAATGCACATGTCATTTTATGTCATTTTATTTTATTTTATTTGATGTTATTTGTTGTTGTTTTTTTTACTTAGCTTTGTTTAACGTTTTTTTTTATTTTGCTTATTTCTATGTTTATTTTCGATTATTACGTTACATTATATATATGTATGTATGTCTTTACAATATAACAATATAACAATATAACAATATATATATATATATATATATATACATACATCATAGATCTGTATACGTACATGTCTGCATGTGCATTAGACTACACGTTCCAACTTGTACTATTAGACAAGCCACCTGCTGCAGGCATTCAGTTTGCCATGAAACATTGTCATGCTTGGATGTACATAACATATACTGCATATATGTTCTTGATGCTAAAGCATTACACATGATATCGTTGGTAGATGTCTGTATGCTGTATGCGCAGTGCTTTTTGCTTGGCTTGTATTGATACACACGGTTGCGCAACGCTATGCCGCCGAAACAACGCCCAACAAGCTCACCAGTAGCAAAGCAAAAGCCAGCGGCTGCCAAAACAAAAGCCAAAGGCAAGGACAAGGACAAGGACAAGGACTACAGCAGTTTCAGATCGCCTTCGCAGCCGGCGCGCAAGAAACAAAAGAAAACTGCAGACGCCACCGCCTTGTCAGAGAATGAGAAGGGCATCGTTCCAACACAGGAAGGCATCAACTTGTTCTTCGGTATTGAGAAAGCAGGCTGCAAGCCAAAAGCTTTGCAGCCAGCTGAAGAATACAAGAACACACAGACTGGTGTAGATGCTGGTGCAACTGCATCAAATTGTTCGGCAATGACTTCCACATCAACACTGCCGGCTGAAGAGTGCAAGGACACCAAGAACACAGTCACAAAAGTTTATGGAGCAGATGAGTGCAGGAATACAAAAGCTGATGCACAACCAGATCCAGCTGAAACGCATAGTTCAGACACGCAGCCGCCAGATGGTTGTGAAGGAATGAAGTCAATGGCGAGTATGCCTACTTCAGCTCATGAGGAAGACATGGATATTCAGACTCAGACTCAGGCACAGAGCTTGCCTGAATGTTCTGTGCCGTGTATGTCCCAGGGCGGTACCGCTACAGACGCAATCACTGGCGACATGTTGACGGCAGCACAAGAGCAGCCGGCTTCGGCTGAGACTGCGAGTCGCGAAAAGGATCAGAACACAGCAACAGCTTTGGATCGGACACGCCACTCAGACATGCCGACAAGTGACATGCCAAACGACGCTTGCCTGCATGAATGATGTATATGTGTTTGCTTTTGTTTTGTGATAATAAAGCGTATGTAAGAAGATGTGTTTGTTCATATATGTTGTTATGATTATTTTAGAAATGTGCGGCGTGTGCTCAGGAGCTATGTGCAGGTGAGTTTGTTGATGGCAATGATTCCATCAATGCAGCACAACAATCACAGGAACATGTTGTTCGCGAAGACCAACAATGTGGCTTTGATGCTGATCGCGCAGCACGTCTCGACAAACTGCAGCGTCTCATGCGCTGGCCAGAGACAGTGTTGAAGCAAAGCTATGAATCACAATCAGGCCACACATCTCCAGATGGCTATCGAGACTATGTTGGGCACATACGTTCATGCATATCAGAGCTGACTATGTCCTCTGCATTCTCTGGCATAGACACACCATGTACAGCGTTGGAGTGCCTAGGTCTTGGAGCTATGCATGAATTGGGTGATTGCGCCCAACAGATTTCAATTCAAAACATGCATGCCGTGGAATGGCTAAGTAAATCACAGGCCCAGCTTCGTCGAGCACCAAATGGTCCCAAGTGTTTGTTCACAGACATCGACACGTTTTGGACCGATGACTTCAAACCCAAGATC